ATCTGCGACATGTTGTTTAATACTTCTATACCAAATAAAAGCATTACCAGTAAAAAGTTCTACTGCAGAAGAAAATAAATCTTGTTCACTAACTTTACGTGATTCAGAAAGCTCAGTAACAGTTTCTAAAAATGAAAATAAATCTTGAGGATTACCATTAAATTTAATAGGCCAGTCTGACACTGGACAAGGTTTAGCAACATAAGTAACAATAGGAGGCGGTACATTAATAACTGGTCCTGAAGGAACAGAACTAACGTTTAAAGTTTCATTAATGTCTGAAGTTTTGACAAGCAGGTCAGCTTCAAGTTGATAACAACTAGTATAAACATCAGTTTGAATAGTTTCTGCATCAGCACGATTTTCATCTAAAATTATTCTCTTGATTCTACCAGCCAAATGCGCAAGACGAGATCTTATAACTTTGAACATTGAATCATTTACTCCACCCTCAAATTCAGAAATTGACAAGGAAATTGAATCTAAAGTTGCTTTAATTTCTGAAATTTCTTGATCAAAAGAAACAGGATAATCTTCCATATTAACTAAACAAAAAGGGTTATTTACTTCTCTACTTAAAAGACCTGACAAAATTTTACGTTTACTGTCAACATTTTTAGATGTTTTAATACCCCTAATAAGAAGTTCGTAATCTAATTCTACTTGTCGTAAATGATTAACTTTAAAAGATTCTTTCTCCATTGTAATTCAGCTATATGAAATACTAAAGACTAAATGATTCAGAAAAACTTACTAATTTTAACAAAAAGCTGTTATGATTCGGCGCAAACTATCAGAAAGAAAATATGTTCAATGTCAAAACCAAAAAAGATTCAAGTATTCGAAACAAATTCCAAAATTTTATGAAATACTAACAGTGCTACCCTGTATACTGAAATTATGTCCACTCTGTATATTCAAAATATAACCATACCTGTATATTTAAATCAAAATCGAAACGTCAATAAAAAATGTAGTCAGAAATACGTATTAAGTTATTTATCTGGGTTTTAAATAGATAAACAAACACCCTCAAGAATTTATAAAACAAAAAAATTGCTGTTGAACTGAAATTATTAGAATTTAATTACAGAAATAATGAAAATAAAATTTCAAAACTATAGTCTTTGCCTTATAGAAAATTTATCTGAGCCTAACAAAAATTATTTTACAAAGTCTACCAAATAAGTGAAGCAAATTAAATTAAATTGAGCCAATTAAACTAAGTCGAGCCAATTAAACCAAGTAAAGCCCCACGTGACAGGGCGTCATATTCTTTATTCTTCTATTTGTGTGACGACTTTTTCTGTCATCACTCAAACAGAAAGAAAAAGGTATCCGTTGCTCAGGGTTAGAGGAGAGCTGGGTTCGTAGGTAAGGCTTGTGGCCTGTGGTGACTTAATAATGTTGTTAAATAATAAAATAAAAGTAATAATGTATAGGCTGCAAAGATTCTAAAATTGATGTTAAGTGTTCAAATAGTAATGGTCAAAGACAGTAAAAAGGGCGCCACTTACTTTGGGTATGAAAAGGTAAAGTAAGAAACCAGTAAGAAAATTTGATCATGAAATAGTTAAAATAAAATAATCAACAGCAATAAGGGTCTATTATGTTCATCAAAAATAAAAGTCAGATATAACTGTCCTACGTTGAACATTTATTTAAAAACGAACACAATTATCAATCAATTTAAACCCAGTTTCAATTATCCCAATGAAATCGTTAGTTACTTTAAGTAAACTCAAATTTAGTTAAAGTTCTCTCCAGTATACTATACTACGTAATATATAAACAGGTGAAATTTATGTAAGTACCAATACGATGATGTTTCGAAACAAGTCGTGTACAATAACCTTCAAAAATGAATCCGTGTTAGCGATTCTCACATAAAAGATCATACTGAAGTAAAACGTACCGTTAAGGACAAAGCATGACTTATAATGTTAACTAAAAGGTAAATTTTGACTATAATATATGGAATAAATGACAACAATTTACAGAGATATTCAAAATATTATCTCAAAGTAAAAAATTTAGGGAATACCTTGTGTGTTGAACTTAGAACTTATCTGTATTTTTTTTATTTTGTGACGTAGTGAACAGGTAGGCAGGCAGTCTCCAGACTAACGGAAGTGGATGTAGACTCTTCGATAGTAGCAGGAGTCTTCGATATCAGTAGAATAAATGTAGAGTCATAAATACTGTCTCAAAAGTGGTTACTCATATGCCAATTACTTATACGTCAATTTCTTATACGCCAGTTACTCTATAAAAAAAACTCTCAGAACAGTCACCGAATACCAAAAAAAATAACTTACGGTCTGAAAATCAGCTGTACACATTCCAAAATATAGCCAAACTATATGCTGATCCAAACCAGTAATGCACAATCAAACATTATCAAAATAAATAAAAAACGGGAATAACTGAAATAAAATTTAGTTAGACATGGCGATACAAAATGGTAGATACACTTACTGTGATCTTATTCCAGGAAAAGGCCAAAAAAACACGAACTAGGCTCTGAACAGTATATTCTACAGGATTTCAAATCTCCACGTTTGGATACCCGTGCCTTTACTGTTAGGAAAAGTATTTCAGAAAGCCCTTTTTCTCTGAGATTCGTCGGACGCTGAACCACGCGTCTTTTTCTGATCTCAATCTCTCGGAAAAAGCCTCCTTCCTCCTTTTCCCAAAACGGAAGTCTTCGAATTGACAGGTCATATGACCAAAGGCAATTAAGTGAACTCTATCGTCTATACTGAATGAAATTTGTTTTTATGGAAAGGAACCGCTACCTGTACTGAATGAAGTTTAACATCTAGCGAATAGATGGCGCCAGCAATATTAAAATTTGGAATTTCATAAAACGAAAAATAAAACGCTACACTTTTTTTTCTATACTTGCTCTTTTTGTCAGAAATAATAAAAAATATAATTTTTTAAATGGAAATCATAGTTGGCTGTGAACTTAACAAAATGCTGGCGTTTAACCCTTTCCAACGATATAAAGATATGTGTATTTATTTCTAAGAATGAGAGAAATATTAGGTTTTTTATCTTTGTATCTTAGCGGGCCTTGATTTTGTGTTGACCTAGTTTCCTAATTATTTTTTATCACAATTTAATATTCTATAGCATTATTTATCTGCACAATTAAAGACTTTTGAAAAGGTAAATCAACATTCTATATTAGTAGTACCATTTACAATTAAAAAGCCAGGGCTACAACTGCACTATTAAATGGAGAATTTAGAGAGAATTGGATTGAAACAAGGGATTCCATCATCTTGGCCTTCTAGGTCCTGTGATGTAACTCCTTTCGACTTTTTGATGGAGGAAATTAAAAGGCCTTATATGTATATAAGGGAAGAACCATTAGGACGAGAGAAGCATTTCAGAAGGCTACTAGGCAAGCTTTTGGACTTATTACACCAGTTCGCCTAACTCTACTAACAGTAACTCTCTGCGCAAAAGATGTTTATTGTGTATTCAACAAGGAGGTTTGAACATCTTTGATGATTTTTTTTAAAAAACTTTATTCGTTTTAGTTTTCTTCTTTGTTTATTGTATCGATCTCAATTGTAATTATTAATACTAATATAGAATGTTAATTTACCTTTTCAAAAGTCTTTAATTATGCAGATAAATAATAATATAGAATATTAAATTGTGATAAAAAATAATTAGGCATATCACACAACACAAAATCAAGGCCCGCTTTGATATAAAGATAAAAAACCTAATATTTCTCTCATTCTTAGAAATAAATACCCATAACTTTATATCGTTGTAAAGGATTAAATGCCAGCATTTTTTTAAGTTCATAGCCAACTATAATTTCCATTTAAAATATTATATTTTTTATTATTTCTGATAAAAAAGGCAAGCATAGAAAAAAACTCACTACGCCACTGGATTGAGCTGAAAAAAGTGCCTAAAGAACGTCTTTACAGAATTTTATTATTCCGCGAAATAAAAAAGTTATAGGCAATTTTCAAAATGGTAAAAAATTCAAAAAGACCCTGTATCTCAGTTGGCAGTGAAAATATCAACAGGCGGTTTATGCCATTAAACGTGTCTCAGAAATCGAGCCCATGCCATCTATGTCGGTTTTGCTCTATCTAGTCAGGAAATAGGTTTTCTCTGTTAAAACAGACCAATTCTGACCACCCTGTACATGTGGAAGCTGGTATAAAAAAGTAAAGTTCTGCCCTATAACTCTTTACTTTTATGTAGACCAGCTGGGTATAGTTTCTTTAATTTATTGTTTCTTGTTGATTTGTTAATTAATAAGTGCAATTCTAGTAACAAAAATGTTCCACATCTTTTATATGATCTTATCTATCACTGTAATTTGTAATGAAGCAAACTTTTAAAAGTAACATCATGTTTTATTAAAAATTTCAACATTTCTTGAGATATTCAAGCAACTTCAGAGATGCTGGTTAGGCGCTGGATAATTCTCGTGCCTCGGGAAACAAGAAAGGTCTAGAAACCAGAAACCCTAACAGTTGAGTTTATGCCTGCTAAGCCATTCTAACGTTACCAATTTTTAACCATGGTTATTGTACGTAGGAACTGGCATCTCTTAATTTCTTTGTACCTTTATCTATCAATAGGTTATAAGTCAACTACTCTACTATTATTTTTGTCTTATGCGTTAGAATTCAGACCAAAGGTTAAAAGTTCTAAGTTTATTATATTTGGTTGAATGACAATTCTTGGGGACGGACATCACGTCTAAATGACTGACTGTCGGTCATAGCGATGAAAGTCTGCAATAGGATTCTGTAAGCTCCGTAGCAAGAAATTGTTTGCCTAGTCTATGTTATTTTTATACGATTAATGAGTAACTAGACAGGAAATATGTTTACAGAATCGCACTGCTGGTCACTTTAATTTAGGAGAGGAAGAACAAGAGAGGAATCAGACCTGTGTATTTTTCCGCTAGACAAACTATAACTAAGTCTATTAACAACTGAGTTTTTTTCTTCTAGACTCCAACAACTCATTCCCATTTTCGGACTGGCTCCAGTCCGGCAATGATGCAGCAATCTCCACCATCTTCTGGGTCTTCCAGTCAGTGCCAGAGTCCTAGCAGTGCCAAAGCTACTCGTACCCACACCTACCCAAAAATTCCGGAAAAATTCAAAGTTCGGGGCGATCAACCTCTATCTCAAGACGAGGAAGTGATATATTTCTGACGACGCTGGAAAGCGACAAGTTTCCTCAGCTCTTTGATAAGAAGTAAGGTGTAACTAACCTATAAATGGCCTGGTTTTCAATGAAGTAACAGAAATAACTGTCAGTTCGTCACAGATATACCCATCCACCTCTCCATCTTGGTTCATACTTCTGATATTAGTCCTAATCTTAATCTTACTATTAGCCCTAGTCACAGATTAAGTATCCCTTATCTTAAGAATATTTTGGTCTTTGGTTGGCGCTCACACAAAAACATTGGTATTTTTAAAACTAAGACACTAATTTACACAATGATAGCGTTCCCTTGTTTGTGAACAAATATTAATAATTACCAAACCAAAAAATAGATAATTTTATACCATTTTGTAAACCTTCAATTAACATGTGAAATACTTAACATGTGAAAATTCTTAAAAACTCCAATTTTGGGCTTGCGCAAATGATTTTTGAATTAAAATTAGTCTTAAGAATATAAAATATCCCATATTTCGTAGGACCCTTAGGACTCAGGCTCTTTTACGTTTATTCATATTCTTGAGATTAGGACTAATGTTATTGTTGGGATTAAGATTGGAAGTATCAACCGGCCATTAATATTCAGGATGATTTTTAAGTATGTGGATAAAATGTTGGACCGGTTTTTAAAAAGTGAAATGATATAGAAATACAGGGAGTTTAATGTTTAAAAATACATATAAACTTGTAAAGGTTTAAAGAGACAGAATAATGTTTTACAGAATTTAAATTCAAGTTTCAAATGTTTGACAAAAATATGAGTAAAGAGATGTCGTTTGTTTAATAAATTTTCTGTATATGTCTAAAATAGAGCACTATTTCTATAAGTATCTCCCTTGAATTTTTCCGAGCCTACTCAATTACCATCCTGTATAATCTCAAAAAATTATGACAAAACCTACTGTAGCTTTTTGTATCTAATAAAATGGATAGCAATCCTATTATTTCATGAGGACACAATATATACAATTCTTTTTGTAACTTTAATGTATATTCAGTGTTGGTAAAGTTCTTTTATTTTAGAAAAAAAAGAATAAACTTTTGATTAGTGTTTTGAGAAATTCTATTTATATATTAAAAAATATTAGTTTTTAAGATAAACCTTTATCAACACTGTTTTTTAAACATGTGCAATAATAAATAACATAAAAATGGTTGTTTTTAGTAGGTAAGAATCTCTTGTATTAAAATTTTTATATATAAGTTATATATCTTCGAATTCATTTAAAAAACTCGACTGTTACGACTATATACATAAATATTATATATTATGTATTTGAGGTTTATAAAATTTACTGATTTGTTTTATGCGAGTTCAAGGTAAAAACTGTAAAAAAACATTTATCGTATGTATAATACTACTTAACATTTTCAATAAGACTGTGTTGTAATCTCGTTTTGTTTTACACTATGTATATGTTTTATATTAATTGTAAAATTTTTAAATGAAAAAAATGTCATTTTTTATTGACCTCCTTGCAAAATATAATTATACTGTTAGTAAGTAAGAATCTCTGACAATACTAGCTCAACACGTTTTAATTCCAACTAGTCAAGCTTCATTCTTATACGACCCTAAAATTATCTATATAGAAATTAGTAAATGTTGTGGCTGTAAAATCTCTATCAAACGAAAAAAATATTTATCGTAAATTTTAACATTTCAATTCTAAACCTTTATTGCTGCTTGTACTAACTTTCTGTGTGTAAAATATTCAGGAAATTACAAAAGAATTACCTCACTATACTGAAGTTGCAGTGGAGGCATACATTTTAAATGGTTAATATTACTAAACTCTTTTATTCCATGTCGTTATGTTTACCTTTATTATTTTATTTAATTTTCATAGACACAAAAATAACAGTTATATAAAGATTTTTTCTTTCTCGGTGTATTTTTTTTCAATAAAGTATTAAGCACCCTCTACACTATGTCCGAAATGTTTCAAGAAATATTTCTGGAGATATTTCGAGAAACATTTCTGGAAATACTTTCAGAAGTAAACTCAATGCTTTTCTTATGTTGCGGGGAAGTCTCGGTCGCAAAGTCTGAAATAGATCGAATAGAACACGAAATAGACCGAGACTATAAAACAAACAACCAATCACGGTAGGCCTGTTCCAAACACCGGTACACCGTTTTAACACCGGTGTTGGGCTGACACCGGTGTTAACCTAACTCAACTTCGCTCTCGTGGGCAATCGACAACTTTTCGCGCTAGTTGCACAATATACTATTCCCAAACTTAAAGTCGTGAAACTACAGGGCAACAGTGACTAACTGTTCTGGCGGTCCGCCTTTTATAGGCTATAATCCACGGTGTTAAACTATTTAAAAAAATCCTCTACCGATTTGTTATTCTTGAATGGATTTATGTCAAACCATGTTATATACAAAAGTATCTTTTACAGTTTTTTCTTAAAACAATAAGAGGACATTGCTTTTTAAAAATGCCTGTGGACCATATTTCATTGACATTGGGTCAATCAATAATTTTCCCAATCGGCTCGATATATTGATGGTGTTGCCCTTCATCAAGCAATACTACTGTTATATTAATCAATTAAGACCGCGTTACACATAACATACAATTTTATATACTAATACATTATAATAAATTTAAATAATAAAAATATGGTAATTATAGTCCTGCAGATTAAGCGTGAAAACTTGTTCTTAAATATCTACTCTACATATTATAAACGCGTGTTAAAATATTAATATTGTTGAATATTATATTAACATAAAACGGAGATGTAATTAACGAAATATCATCGTTACAACAGATATTTTAGAAACGTCTAGGTTTACTTATTTGTGAGTGAGATTTATGAAAAAAGTCCTTTGCCTCGGCTACAGATACCGACACGTTTTGGAAACAGCTCGAAACGAAACAAAATTGAACGAGACAAAAACGCAAAAAAATCCCCACGCCCATCTCCGCAAATTCCCGAATAGTTTTGAGGCGCTTTTAGGAATCGAAAGTAGGTCGAGACAAACCGAAATAGGTGAAGACAACACAAAATAAGCCGAAACGCGACAAAGTTAAGCGACGAAACGCGACCTTGACCTGTTTCGGTCTATTCTTCGCATAGTGTAGAGCGTGTTTTACACTCGAAATTGGAAAATTGAAATCGTTAATCCTCAAGTTTAATTGCTAAAAAATGACTACTTGAAAGGTAAAAAAGATTGGGACTCTTACTTCAAAGGAGCCGATGCTTATTGTAACTTCTTTAAAGTTAAGGTATTCTGTGTCTATCTGCTCTACGAGTATAATACTGTGTAATATTTTAAGCTAATTTTTTTATCGTTCATTTTTCCTTATTTATTACTACGAAATAAATAAATGGTATTCTTAAAGCTAAAAATTCTGTGACAATACGTAGCGATACTCTTTCTCCTCTCTAAATCTATATTTAGTATTAAGGTGTAAATATTTAAATTTATTTCCCATACAAGTTTCCTTCGTGTGTGTTAAATAAATAAATATGTCTGAAATTAACGACTGTACTAAATAATATTATAGTTAGAGTGAGTTTACTGGCGTGGTGACCTTGAGTGTATTTTCAGTATTATTGAAATTTAAACAAGTTTTACTATTTTTCAAATGTGTTATATTCAAGTCCACTTTGATGTGACACAAAGAACATTTATTTTAAAGTTTTTACTAAATAATTTTAAATAATATTTAAGGTCATACGTCAACTGCCGAAATATTTTAAGTTGCTAAGTACCTTCCATTCTTTCTATAAATTTCATTGACTTTTAGAAATAAACAGTTTGGAATTAGGATCGGGATTTTTTGTATCATTGAAATAATTTGATTTGATTGAATGCCCGTTAATATTATCTTGAATATTTTATGTAAATTTTTGATGATTTTATATATGTACAGGGTGTCCCACTTAAGATGGATACAAGCCAATATCTTGATTGTTTGTTGAGTGATCTTTTTCATTTTTGGCAGGAAGCTGTATGGCTATAAGACGTACATTTTGCCCAGGGTAAGAAATGCGATACCTCATAGACTTACGTTTTAATGGGGTTTGATATTTTTCGAGTCAAGAGTAAACTACCCTTAGGACAGTATTTATTTCAAATCTGATAAATTATATTGAATCCTCCTTACCTAAGATACTTAAGTTCTAATTTGGATATATATTGATACAGGGTGTGTTCTTAAAATAAGACATTTTTATTTTTAATATTATTTTTTAAGCACTTACGACGCCACTGGATAAACAACTGGTGTATTATCAATAACCAATTAATAATCGTTTTTTATGGTGGTTTGGTCGAAGATGTTGGCTTTTAGTTCGTTATAGTTTTATAAATCTTTGTTTAGAGCATATTTTTCAAAGTTAATAGTGATTGTTTTAAATATCTAACTATTTGGATTTTTTTAAATATTTCTCAATAAAACGAATAAAAATCATATTTTAGATTCCATTGAAAACTGGGGTTTTAAATTATTTTGTAACTCATTTTATTCATTTGTAGCAAACTTAAAAAACAGTTTTTTAAAGTAAACAAAAGAAATTGAAAATATTTAGTTTTTTGTATTGTATCTTAATTATTATGGAAGCTATCTGAAAACTTAAATCAATTATTAATTGATAATTGGTTATTGATAATAAACCTGTTGTTTATCCAGTGGCGTCGTAAGTACTTAAAAAAAATAATAAAAATAAAAATGTCTTATTTTAATGACGCACCCTGTATCAATATTTATAAAAATTAGAACTTAAGTATCTTAGGTAAGGAGGAATCAATATAATTTATCGGATTTGAAATAAATACTGCCCTAAGGGTAGTTTACTCTTGACTCGAAAAATATCAAACCCCATTAAAACGTACGTCTATGAGGTATCGCATTTCTTACCCTGGGCAAAATGTACGTCTTATAGCCATACAGCAACTATATATACAAACAATCAAGATATTGGCTTGTATCCATCTTAAGTGGGACACCCTGTATGTAAAATCTTCAGCTTCCTAAGATACTGGGTGTTTCTTTTTCTAATAAAACCTCAGAAGTGTATTTTCAGATTTGTATTTGAGTTGTATTATAGTCGTATGCATAATTCTTTTAGACAATACAGGGCGAGACTTAAATAAGTGCAAAGGACTTTTCAGGGCTGGTAGATCTTGATAAAAAAAAACATTTATTCTTTATCGTTTTTCAAATAAGGCCAAAATAATCGACTTATTTTACTTTGAAAATTAAAAAAAAATGTTTTTTGCTTAAATTTTGAGAACCACTGGGTCTTTTCTGGGTTTTCTTTCTTGTAAATTTAATCTACTACCTATGTTGCCATATTATCAAGAAATTGTGTTTTTTGACTAAAAAATTCAAAATTTTCAAAAAAACATTTTCGCGGAAAAACCTCATAGTCGTGTTTCTGGGATCGAAATCCTAAAATATTTGCACTTATTTAAGACTCACCCTGTATATCTCCAGTGCAAATTATCCCGTCAAAAGATCATAAGTTGCTTTTAAACACAGAATTATTGTAAAAACTTCGAAAAGTATATACAAAACTAAACAAATATTTATTTTCATAAATATAATAACCTTGCCTATTTTCAGTAATGTAAGTAATGATCTATTTTTTATTATAAATTTGGAGGGGGATAGCGTTGTCAGCAGGTAAAAACAGAGGAGGTGCAGAAGCCTAATTTACTATGAACAATAGTTCTTGTCTAACTGATTTATGCACACCACCGGACTATACTTATACCAGTTTTTTGATCATTTTAAAACCTACTAGTACTTTTAACATTTTTTTTAAACATGTTTAATTTAC